ACAAGATCCCAATGATGAATGTAACTACATTGTATACCTAAAATACACCAATAAATAAACTTTTTAGAAAAAGAAGCTCTGAGGAGTACTAACAAGGGTATATTTGGATATTCTATTTTTTAGATAATTAGGATTCAACTATAGATTAAATGTATAACAAAATATATTAACATTCTACTTAAATCACTTATGTTTGTTCAGAGGTATTTCAAAGCAAATAAGCATATTTACTTCTATCTTTAAAATTTTAGTTTGGGCCAGTCATATCAAAAAGTTCAGCTAAATGAGGGCTCTTTATTTCCACAGTGATTGATATCTCAGCCCTTCAGTGGAAGTAACATTCTCCCCTGTTTGAGGTAAATGATCTCATGCAGGCACACCATTTGGATACCTAGAAAAGGCAATTTATCTCAAGTGGGCAAACACTATAATGAAAGCAAGGAGGTTGCCACCTGTCCAGTGTTTACAAAAGCAACATGGAAACTAGGGTCTCTGCCCACCACCTACAAATGCATCACCAAAGTTTAAGGACGTAACAGGGGAACTTTTAGCACCTTCTATATATTCTTACACTATTTAAAGTCTGCACCTCCACATCCCAGCCGTGACTGCATCCTGCCTGAAGTTGTGCATCAGATGTCATTCTTGCTCTAAAATCACTGTGTAATTTATTTTCTGGGAGACCAAGTGAATTCATACATTTTTCTTTTATCTCCTAATGTAGAGGGGTAAATATATTTTTCACAATGACAAAGAATTACATTAAATAAATTAATATGAATAAGATTATAGCTTAGCAATCTATTTTTAAGTCTCCAAATGTATAAAAATATGGATAACACAAATTATCAGCTTATTAAACTAAATTCAAAAACAATTACGTTCTTTCAAAAGTGCTAGAATTTTGCTGTTAACCTGTAATATCAAAATTCTTACAATAATTGAGATTTTCATTTTAGACGTCAAATCCAGTATGTTAAGGTCATGCCAATACATTAAAAACATACATGACTCACCAACATCAATGGCCACATCTAAAAATAATCTTTTGAGTAAAAGTTTCCTACTAGAAAAGCCTTGGCCTAGATACTTGAAATCACAATGAATGATTCAGAATTACACAGAATTGTGTAAAAAATTAAATTACATCTGACATTATCATTTCATTCATGGTTACATTTCATTGAACAGGCAAGTCTTAACAAGAACATTGTATTATTTTTACTATTAATGTATCTGAAATGACTATAATTAGTCCAATGACACAGTTTAATCAGAATTACACAGAATTAATTGTATATCAACATTTCTCCCAGTGCCAAGCAAACTAGTTTTCAATGAAACTTTTACACAAATACATCATACAATCTGAATCACAAAGAAATAAACTTGTATTTTAGACCTTTGGAAATTGCTGATTATAGGTGATTCCCCACCTGGTAGAAAGAAGACTATTCAAATTAACTCTATCTAAAATAATCTAGAAAAAATAAAAGCATAATGCCAAATGAGACAGAGAAAGTTTCTACTGGCTCATTTATTACTTTAGTTTCTGAAATTTGCAACCAGAAGTATAAATGAAGGAAGACAAAAACAAGTGAGAGAACACTGCCTATAGTATTTAATAAAAAAAAATTAATGGTAAGCTTTCCATAGGAAAATAGATCACAGATAAAAGGTTCATACATTTGTCAAAAAGCTCACTTAATTCCCACCATTATTAAAGACCAAATTAGCCATCAAAATTGAAATTAATTTACATTATTAAATATAGGTTGAATAAGCTGTCTGTGACTGAATAAAAAAAGAAAAGAACAAATACATTTTCTTCCTAGATGGTTTATTAGCCATAAAGAATTTCTGGACATTTGCTTTTAAGTATATTTTGCAATGACATAAAAGGGGAGATCATACCTGTTTTACTAATGACTTCTTGTAACTCAGCCATAGAACTGATTATTGCAGCAAGAAGATCAGAACTGGTGAGCCAACTGAGTGCTTGCAAACAACATAACTGCTCCTTTTGATGTTCTGTAAAAATAGAAAATATCCATTATGAAATGCTATAAAAAGTTATTAAAATCCATATATAAAATTCATTACAGTATTCAGTTATTTAACTAACAAATCAAACTTTCTGCATAGAACATTGACTGGCACAGAAAAAAAATCTATAAGAAATGTTAGATTTGATTGATCCAGTTTATAAGTAACTATTAAGGGTGGTCAAAAAAGACAGAAATTTTCCTTAGTTTTATTCTTATTACTTAACAGTCTGCTTTTTAAAAAGTTAACAATTGAATCTATTGTTTCTTCAGAATACTCAAAAATGTTAGCTGGAAAATTTACATTTGTGATATTTTTATACAAGTCTTCAATAGTTTTTTTTTAACTTGCTCTTTTATACTATTTATAAAAAGTTAAATTATACTGATACTTTTAAGTAGGGCTATTTTGGATTATCTTAATTTAAAAATTGCTGTATAAGCTCTTCACTTTATTACAAAAAAGATTCAAATATAATAAAGCTAAACAATGGCAAAATTATACATATTTGCTCTATATATTAATCAATTGACAATAAATTATCAAGAGCCTGATTTGTCTAAAAATATACATTTATTTATACAAACACTATGTGTCTACATAGATACAGAACTAAGTTATAGGATTTGATGTGACATGATCTTTTAAAGGTTTCATATGTGCTAATTATATTTTTAAAAGCTCAGATATCTTACTTGGAAATTTAAGCTTGTCTTTGGGCTCTCCTGTACACACTAACATGCCTATGCCTTCTTTGAAACTTTCCATCCAAGTAAAAAGAGAGCCACATGATTGGCCCAAAATCTTGAGTCTGTTTGCTGCCAAAATTGCAATAACACCTTTCCGGAATACACGTATCAATCCTTTGAATGGTTTTTTCTTCATCTTGGCTTCCTCTTGCTTCTTTTCCTCTACTGCTGACAATGCTTCAACTAAAGTTCTAATTTCCAATTTGAACAATTCAAAAGTGTTGACCTGCTCCTGGAGAAAATCTCTCTGTGTAGACAAGGCACATGATCTGCTATAGAGGGGATACAATGCACCAGCCATCAATGCACAGGCTGCCAGCAAGGATGTCTGCTCCCTTTGAGTCTTTGACAACACATTTTTGAACTGTGAATTTTCAAGAATTAACTGTGCATGTGACTTCTCAATATAGTTCAATTTGTCCATATTTTTTTCTGCAATTTCTTGAAATTTCTAAAAAAGATGTCAGATAATATATTTGATTATAAAACAAGCATTTATTAATTTATCTTTAGACCAAAAAAACTTTTGCTGACACTACTTCTTCCCCTTTCAAAAGATCCATTTCTAAAATATCCAAAAACTATATAAGATACAGCAACAGTAAGCCAAACATCTTAGGTCTGAATGTTCACACTGATTTTTAAATCCACTTACACAGAAGCTTTATATAAACTACACCCATAAATTTAAGGGCACTTTGTGGACTTCATGTAAACTTGCACATAAATACGTATTTTTTAAAAAGAAAATGTTTTCTCTACATAATTTCTCCTTTTGCAATTCCTCAGTAACTTTTAAACAGAAATTATACTGCTAGTAGAGGCTTTTCTATTCACAAAAAGGCATTACCTTTTACCAAAATTAACAAAGGTCTAAATCTATGATAAAAGAAAAAGCATCTGACTGTCTCCTATTTACTGATGAGAAGGCACTGGCTAATTCGAAGCATGCCCTCTTACTTCAGTTTCTTCTTAAACCCCCACACACACCCACACACACACCAGGCTCACAGGGAGGGGAACCTGGCTCCCCAGAACTATGGTAAGTGCCCAGGGCTGGGAGATCTAGGGAAAACAGTGATGGAGGCCCCCAGCCATTATGATCTGCAAAAACAGTATGGGGTTTTGCTCCAGGGGGACTCCTTCTATATGGTAGACAACGGGTAGATAGGGATTCAAGCATGAGTGCCTGCCATATTGCCAAAGAGTGCTTAATCAGGTGCCATTTCAGGAAAGGGTTGACTATTTAAATCTGGAACTCAGAATAACTAAAAAACAACTTCACTTCAGGGCTCACCTTGCTACCCTCCAAAAGTGACTGGGTGAGAGACAGCCATGGGAGACAGCCATGACAAGGAGTGGACTAGAAAGAGTCCCCTGAGAAAGTTAACCACAGAAAGAGGACATAGGCCTAGCACCCATAATGAGAAGTCAGGGCCAGCTTGAAGTGAGCTCAGAAAAAGCTGGTTCTGGAAGTGCCTGTCTTCATTAAGTACTTGAACCCTTACCTTGCTGCCTACATTCAGCAGATCTGAGGTCTAATTACTTTCACTATCTACAAACATGAGCAAGGACACATCTCAGCATGGCCATTGCCACAGCCTACAGTAAACAGAGGGCCATCTGGAATAGAAGGCACCTCATAAACTCATAGGACATAAGGCTAGGCAGATAAAACCATGATTTGCTGGACTTCAAAACTACAGATTCTGAAAAAAAAGCATTCATTCAAAAGTATTTTTTTTTATTTCTGGTTTTGGACTCATCTTCCTTTTACTTTCTTTTTCTTACCCCTTTTTTCTTTTTCGTTTTTTCCTTTTAATTTTTTCTAATTTTTATTTTCCACATTATTTCCTTCTTCCTCCCTTTATCTTTCAGTTTCTTTTTTTCCTGTTATCACCTTTATCTAATTCTATTAATATCCTATTCCTTAGTAGGGTCCTTTGTGTCACTTTTCTCTCATCACCCACTGTTTAATTTTTCAAGTTTTTTTTTGCATCCTCCCATTCTCAAACCCCTACTATAGCTTTAATAGTATAACCATTAAGCTTTATTAAACTTTAGATAGTTAACACTACCTCACTACTGTTTAACTCTTTTTTATGATTAGTGGAGATATAGTTGTCACACTTAGTAGATATTTGCTATATGTCAATATTTCATTTGTCTTAATGTTTATACTATAATTATAGATTTCTAAGGTGGTACAATAATGGTTCTTATGTCAATAACCAGTTTGTGTTTGGGCACAGTGGTGCATGTCGGTAATCTCAACACGCTGGAGCCTGACACAGGAGGATCATTGCAAGTTTGAGGCCAGCCTGTGCTACATAGTAAGTTCAAGGCCAGTATGAACTACATACTGAGACCATGTCTCAAAATAAAATTCAGTTTGTCTTGGATGATATTACCATTGCTGGTTTACTTGACGTTGCCACAGATGCACATCTGGTCCTATTAATAGATTTTCTTGGTATGTAAATATCCAGATTACTTTGAAGACTTTAACAATACTTCAGTCCATTCCCAGAGAACTGGGTGCTGGTTCAATTACACTGCATCTTGTCGTCCCAAATTAACAGAGATGGTTGGATCACGAAACAGTACTATAGGAAGGCAAACCCTGACTAAAACAAACTAAAAATGGACTAACTAAAGAGACCTCCATACTAGCAACAAAATCTTTCCACTGTAAGAGACTGTAAAGCACAACAAATAAAAAACAATAGAAACACAAGAAGACAAGCCAGCAAAATGCCTTCCAAAACTTCCATCAACCCCAGAGCTGATACATGGGGTAACGAGAGGGAAGAAAGAAAAAGCCACATGTCAGGAGCCACTCTACATAATTTTGAGGAAAAAATCATTTCACAATTAAATTATGATTAGGGCTGTCTGTGGCCTCAATAGTCTTGTGAGGCTGTGACGTTCAAGGGCAAGATTACATCAGCTGAAGACATCCTGGGTCTTTCAGAACTGAGCAGAAAGGTTTCACCTGTGGAGGGACAAATTCCTTATCAGCTTAACTCATCCCACCTACTGTTGTTAAGAACATTTTGCTGATCTCATCTTCCTAATCGATTTAAACTTCTCATGGACCTAAAATCCTCATCAACATAAGATTCTCAGCCTCATAGAATTACTGCCACCATTCAAGTCATCTGATACTTCCCCCCAATTATAAGATCCTTGTCAATTTAGGATTATCGCCACCCTCTGAGTCATCTGATGCTCCCTATGAACCCAATAAATAGTAGCAAGCTCAGGGTGCCTTTGTCTTTGCTGCCCAGAGCAGCACTGATCAGACCAAAAGCTCAGCTTTTTCTCCAAGTCTCATTTCCTGTCTTTATTCTTTAATTCATTTTGTCTTGTAGTGGCTCACAGGAGACCAGGACTCACGGCAGGGGTTCTGGTAACATCCCCTTTCCCATTACCTACAGCCACACAACCAAATTATTTGAAAGGAATAACAAGAGAGATTAAGAAACAGAACAATAAAGTGCTCAGCTGGCTCAAAGAACATAAAACTAAACAGATAATGGATATAATACACAAAACGATCAGAGAGCTTATGGAAGACACTAATAAAATGCTAGCTGAGCTAAACAAAATGATACAAAATATGAATGTCCAGTTTGGCAAAGAATTATAGTCCATAAAAAGATTCCAAACAGAAACTTAGGCAATCAAAAATTATAATAAAAGTACAGGAAGAAGAACGAGCAATGTGAGGGCAGAATATCAGAATTAGAAGATTGAGGTGCTTTCAAAGACCAATTGCTGGGCCAGGGATTTAGCCCAGTTGTTTTGCCTCCTGCTGCACAAGCACAAGAACCCTAGTTTGATCCCTGGTACCCCCAAAAAATAACAACAAAAAAAACAAAAACAAAGACCAATTGCTCAGAGATACCTTAAAAACAACAAGAGAATATGAACAATGGGCACAACAGCTGCTACGTGACAATAAGAAGATGGAGATTAATTGGAATGTGAAAAATCATAAGGCACCACAAATGGCATAAAAAACTGTTTACAGAAACAATAGCAGAAAACTTTCTAAATCCAAAAAGTGAAGATACAAATAAGACATACAGAGCCCCAAAATAGTGACAATCAAAAGAAAACCTCTCCAATCAGAAAAAATCTCCACATCATATCATAGTAAAAATCCCAGAAGTCCAACACAGGGACAGAATCTTGACAACTGTTAGAGAAAAGCAATAAATCACTTATAAGAGTAAACTCATTTGAATTTCAGCAGACTTCTCAACTCAAATCTTAAAGGCAAGGAAGGAGAGCTTAGGGTGAAGTGTTTCAAGCCCTAAAAGATAAAAACTTCCAACCCAGACTTAATAACTTGCAAAACTTACTTTTGAAATTGATGGAGAAATATAGTATTTCCATGACAAAAAGCATCTCAAGAAATTTATGACCACAAAACCAGCACTACAAAAAATTCTCAAGGATATCCTAAAAAGAGACAATGAAGCCAAAAATGTCAAAATACCTAATAAAATGAATACATCAGGCAGACTGACCAGTTAAGCAGAAAGAAGAGGAGGAAGAAATCAGCAACAGGAAAATAAAGTCAATACATCTTAATAATATCTTTCAATATGAATGGTCTCAATTCCTCAATCAAAAGACACAGACTGTTAGAATGAATCAAGAAACAAAACCCAACAATATGTAGTATACAAGAAATATATTTAATCCAAAACAAAATACACAGATTAAAAACCAAAAGTTGAGGGCCAGGGATTTAGCTCAGTGGTGTGGCCACCTGCCTTGCAAGCATAAGGTCCCGAATTCCAACCCCAGTACCAAAAAAAAAAAAAACCAAAGGTTGAAAAACAGTATTCCATGCAACAGGAACCCAGAAATTAGCTATCCTAATTTCAGACAAAATGGATTTCAAGTCAAAACTGATCAGAAGAGGCAAAGAAGGTCACTACACATTGGTTAAGAGAACAATTCAACAGGAAGAGAGAACAATTATAAACATATGCAGCAAACATTGGTGCACTCAATTTCATAAAACAAACAATACTGCACATAAAACATCAGATAAATACCAACATTATTTTAATGGGAGATCTCAATACCCTACTACTGCAAGTAGATAAACTAGGAAAAAATAACAAAGAATGTCAGAGTTGGACCAAACCTTTGAACAAACAGACTTGATAGATATGTACAGAGTGCTCCATTCAACAACCACAAAATACACTTCTTTTCAGCATCATATAGGACTTCTCCAAAATATACCACATACTAGCCCATAAAGAAAGCTTAAGCAAGTGCAAAAGAATGAAAATTATATCATTATCAGATCACAGTGCATTCTAACTAGAAATCAATGGCAAAGAAACCACAGAAATTATGTATGCACACAGATATTGAACAATGCCCTCTTGAATAACCAATTGGTCACAGAAGACATCAAGGAAG